TGTATATCCTAGCTTGAACCAGCTTCTAATGCTCTGGATGGAGCGGCTTGGTGATGGTAGTCGTGGCGGGAGGCACAGTCTTTTGGGTAAAGGAACTTGGCCGAGTTCCACCACGGAATATGTGAACGAGCGGCGCAATATCGAGTCTAGTTCGCTACCTCTTCGTCACCGAGGCGCGTTAGTACAGTTGGTACGACGTTTGCCTGTCAATGTAGCTTTCCGGGTTTCAATTCTCGATAGTGGATGCTGATGAGCCCCAAATATAGGACGAAACGGCCGTCCAGTGCTTTCTGCATTATGTTGAGGTTCCTTCTAAACTCGATGAAATCTATATATATAGATATATATATATATACTCTAGCAGCATGGCCCGGCGTTGCCCGTGCTTAATTTAAAAACCCTACGACTCATACAGCTATCACTTGACTTAAAATAGTTTTGCCCTTCCTTGCCTTTAAAGGAGTGCCATTTGCTGTGCTGATGTTGATACATGCCTTACTTCTTGCCTATCTCACACTGCGAATTTTTCTAAGCTATATACTAAACATTAAATCTGTTACGAAAAAAGAACTAAACAAAATGAACACAAAAAGATCAGCTTTAAAAAAGGACTCGTAACTGGAAAAACCGAATGAAAAAAGAATGTTAACAACAAATGTTTTTCCACACCCAACCCAGTTCTGCGGAATCAGAATCAACGTTGAGTTTAAGCAAGTGAATGAGCCAGTTGGAGTAAAGTGCCATGCAGATTTAAATTTTTCCCACTTGTGACGAATGCAGCTATCGATTTTTTTTTGCATGCTAAGATTCTAGTTAACATTCGTGTCAGTCAGCTGTTGGCTCTCACGCTGGCCAATATAATCTTCCTGCCTATTCGTGGCAGCCAGCTATTGGCTCTCACCCTGGCCAGTAGAAAATGGCCGCAAACTACATGAAAACTGCCGTAGAAGCATGAAAAAATCGATTATTTCCACTATCGATGGGAGTTGGGAAATGCAAAGTCGGTCTTGGCCTTCCCGCTAATTTAGAGCATGTGCATGTAAATTTTGGTGCAAATCCGTCGAAAAATTTCGGCCGTGCATTCGTTACAGACACACACACGCACATCCTGCCTTTTATAGATAGATATATATATATTTACAAACTTACTATATATATATATATATATATATATACTTACAAAGTTTGATTTAATCTGTCGTATGGTTTTCAAACACTTCCCAACGCTACCGCCCGCTGGGACAGCTTCTCAAGGCCGACAGTATCAATAAACCGCTTCCCTGGCAAAACGACCACGGGGATCTTTAAGCTCATTTCTCATGGTCAGAAAGATAACTTTCTAACCCCTCAGCCACAAACTGTTTCGAAAGCCGTCGATGGCTGTACTAGCACAAAATAACAAGTCATTGTGCCTGAGAGCTTGAGCGTTCTGGCCTTGTTAAAAAAAAGTGATCACGATACGCACTTTCCCAGAAATTGTAACTAAAATCCGCTCGGTGAAACCACAGGTGAACTATGTGGGTGTTGAAAATCACAAATGTGTCTGAGCAAGTGCCTACAATAAGGATTGGCCAGTACATATACATACATACATATTAAGTTATTTTTAGTGTATACTCGTATTTGAGTAAACGCCCCGTTTCATGAATATTCGAGAGTTGTTATTACGATCCGCAGGCAAGATTCGAACCTGCGTTGCCCTAAAGGAAACCTTATTATATATGACGTACTTTGACCTCTTGGATATGGAGCGAGTTGCTGAAAATCTGTTTTAAGCCACTATTTAGATTTTGCTTGGTTAACGACACGCTCAGTAGCTGATAGCGTTGGATCTAAAAACTGGTTCTTCTAGGGGTACGCAAGTTCGAATCCTACCTGAGAGTGCATATTTTTCTTATTAGAGTTCTCGAATATTCATGCCGGTAGACGAAAATAGCGTTTAATAAATAAACGGAACGTATCCACTAAAAATAACGTTTAAGTGATACAAATCTGTAGGATTAATAAATTAATTCTCTTCTTTAAAACACACACACACACTCACGCATATATATATATATATATATATATATATATATATATATATATATATATATATATATATGATCTAAAGATTGCCTTCAAGCATGAAATAAACTATTGGTACTACCCCTGATATTTTGCACTTTTATCCATAAATATTACATATCTTAAAACTATATAATACATAAATGCTAATGAGCCAGATACTACCTACCTAGGTTTCACCATATGGGATGATCAGTTCACCCAGATGACGAAACCTAGGTAGGTAGTATCTGGCTCATTAGGATTTATTTATTTTACTTTTGCTCTTCTTAGTGCATTGAGCACTCTTCGTTTTAACATTACTTGTTTTTTTTTCTTTTTACCAGAGATTTAAGGTACTGGACGATTATTTTCGCCCTGTTTAGCGGTTTCTGTTACTTTCTTTTTTTTTAAATTTTTTTTCTCGGATGACAATTTGTTTGAAAATTGTGCTATACAGGTTTTTTCACCCACCGAGTTTAAATGGATTTACATTTCATATATATATATATATATATATATTTCAACTGGAAATTCAAGTCAACACCCAGAGGCGACAGTCAGACTACGATTGCGTTTAGCATTTATATTGACAGACGCTATATTCTTGTTACTGAGCACTTTAATCCATAAATATAGCATAAAGCTAAAATTTATCACACACAAACACACACACACACATGCATATATATATATATATATATATATATATATATATATATATATATATAAATATACTATTTACACCATTCGGACTGTTGAACTCATCTTTCTTGCCATATTAACGACGTTTCGGCTGTTGTTCGCTCCAGCCTTCATCGGGTGGTTGCATTGGAATTTCGAACTGAACCTTTTATTTCGTACACCGGGGTCGATGTTCTAGTTCCACGTGCCATGCCTCAGTGTTTCAGTTAGAAATTTCTATCACTTGTAGAAACCTGAAGCGGACAACAGCCGAAACGTCGTGAATATACACCATCTCGGATATATATATATATATATATATATATATATATATATATATATATATATATATATATATGTAAGCAAATATATGGATATAGATCCGACAGTATGAAGAAAAATACAGAAGAAACAAACAAAAAATCTTAATATATATAATCAATACAGCATAATTGCATATTAAGATTTTTGTTTGTTTTTTCTGTATTTTTCTTCATATATATATATATATATATATATATATATATATATATATATATCGAGTACAGGACGCACAGTTTTATACAAAAATGATTTAAAACATCAGCCTTCGTTGGTTAATTTTACCTCCAACGCTCACTCCAGATGATTACTTCTACCACATCTGAAACCATAATAATATTTACTTAAACCATGTTATTATTATTATTATTATTATTATTATTATTATTATTATATTTCGATTTCTGCTAGGGGAGTTTGTGGGAAGACCTAAGGCAGGTAATGGTGTGTTGTTATGGCTACATTTCATTATTTATTTATTTTTTTGTTTTTTTTTTATCTCCAATAACATCACTTGCGTTAAATAGACAAAGTTCTTCTTCGTGTGTGGCCTGTACTTATCAAGACAATTTTTTTCTATTTCTCTTAAACTGGGATTTCCAAGGATTTTTTCAATGTGTTATGTTGCATTTTTATAATTCCAAGCGTACCTACTTTGAATGGTACTATTCTTGTTTTCAATTTCCACATTTCAAATTATTTCATTGCTATGTTATTGTCCCCTGGGCAATTCATATCAATTTGTAGTTGAATTTTTTTTTTTATCGGTTTTTGACAATTCTGTCCGGCCTTTTTGCTTCACTCCTCCTGTCTGTAAAGATGGTGTAATCTCATAGAATTGTGATGTCTTCTGTAATCAGTGCTGGGTGATGTTCATACCAGTGTTTATTAACATCTTTTCAAATTTTTTGCACATTGTACATTATCATCATCATTATTATTATTATTATTATTATTATTATTATTATTTCCTTTTGTTTCTGGTGTATTTCTTTCCGGGTCCCGATC